TCCTGTAGTCCACAATCAGCTCCTTTGTCTTGCTCACATTGAGGGAGAGGTTGTTGTCCTGGCACCACACTGCCAGGTCTCTGACCTCCTCCCTATAGGCTGTCTCGTCGTTGTCGGTGATCAGGCCTACCACTGTTGTGTCATCAGCAAACTTAATGATGGTGTTGGAGTTGTGTTTGGCCATGCAGTCGTGGGTGAACAGGGAGTACATGAGGGGACTAAGCATGCACCCCTGATGGGCCCCCGTGTTGAGGATCAGCGTGGCAGACGTGTTGTTGCCTACCCTTACCACCTGGGGGTGGCCCGTCAGGAAGTCCAGGATCCAGTTGCAGAGGGAGGTGTTCAGTCCCAGGGTCCTTAGCTTAGTGATGAGCTTTGTGGACACTATGGTGTTGAACGCTGAGCTGTAGTCAATGAACAGCACTCCCACATAGGTGTTCCTTCTGTCCAGGTGGGAAAGGGCAGTGCGCGATTGAGATTGTGTCATCTGTGGATCTGTTGGGGCAATATGCGAACTGGAGTGGGCCCAGGGTATCTGGGATGATGCTGTTGATGTGACCAGCCTTTCAAAGCACTTCATGGCTACTGACGTGAGTGCTATGAGGCGGTAATCATTTAGGCAGTTTACCTTCGCTTGCTTGGGTACAGGGACCACGGTTGTCTGCTTGAAAGGTACCACAGACTCGGTCAGGGAGAGGTTGAAAATGTCAGCGAAGACACCTGCCAGTTGGTCCCCACATGCTTTGAGTACACGTCCTGGTAATCTGTCTGGCCCCGCGGCTATCTATCTACTGTATAGTATTATGTACGTACAGTAAATGTATAATTCATTAATTGTGTAATGGCCCATTAGGACAGATGAAATACATGGTCACCTCAAAATAAATCGATAAAGTTTACTCACAAAGTTTCTCTTCAGATCCATGTTTGTATGATCCACACCTAAAGGGGAGGCAGGAAAATAAATATCAGTGTTTGTACATAAAAGCTACAAATGAGGGATACAGGAACTAAAAGGATGCATGATTTAACACACGATGAGTCTGGATGTTCCTCTATTCTCCCTTCTTTGAACCTCTTTCTACATGGACTGAAGGGATTAAAAAAACTGTAAGCGGTTGGGCTGGGAGAGGGAAGAAAAGACAAGGGGGAGAGGAAAAAGGGAAGGAGAATGCAGCAGGACAGAGAGGATGGATAGCACCTTGCCCTCTTTCTCATTTTATCCTTTCTACCTGCCTGCATCCCTCCTTCCACCCTATTCTCCCTTTCATCTTTATCTCTGAACCAGTCTCTCTCCCTCTCTCCCTCTCTCCCTCCCTCCCTCCCTCCCTCCCTCCCTCCCAGGCCCTCTTTCTGCTCTCTCACCCCATCTCTCCCTCTTTTCCTCCACCCTCCATCTCTCCCTCTTTTCCTCCACCCTCCATCTCCCCACCCTCTCTCTTCTCTTGTGGCTGAGCCCCTGTGGACTCTTTCGCTCGCTCTTTCTAGCTACACTTTCTCCATCTGTCTCTCTATCTCTCCCTCCCTCCTCCCTCTCTTCCCCTCTCTCTCTTCTCTCCTCCTGTTGCAGGGCCCCTGTGGACTCTCTCACAGACAGGCGAATGGAGGCCCCAGGAGGGCCCTGCCACACAAACACACACACACACACACGCTCACACACACAGGACCCGCCAGCCCTTTGTCCCACGCAGGCAGTGCCGCCAGGTTGCCATGACAACCCGCCGTTGTCCGAGGCGGCCTGATTGTGTTCATCTGTGGCGGGTTAGAGCCCGGGTGAGTACAAGCACACCACACCACGCCTGGCCCGCTCTGCACAACCTCCATCTCTCTATTCTCTCTCACTATCATTCCCCATTCTGCTTCTCTCTCTCGCTCTCTTTTTCTTTATTTTTACTATTTTCTACATTGTAGAATAATAGTGAAGACATCAAACCTATGAAATAACACATATGGAATCATGTAGTAACCAAAAAAAGTGTTAAACAAATCAAAATATATTTTATATTTGAGATTCTTCAAAGTAGCCACCCTTTGCCTTGATGACAGCTTCGCACACTCTTGGCATTTGCTCAACCAGCTTCATGAGGAATGCTTTTCCAACAGTCTTGAAGGAGTTCCCACATACGCTGAGCACTTGTTGGCTGCTTTTCCTTCACTCTGCGGTTCAACTCATCCCAAACCATCTCAATTGGGTTGAGGTCAGGTGATTGTGGAGGCCAGGTCATCTGATGCAGCACTCCATCACTCTCCTTGGTCAAATAGCCCTTACACAGCCTGGAGGTGTGTTTTGGGTCATTGTCCTGTTGAAAAACAAATGATAGTCCCACTAAGCGCAAACCAGATGGGATGGTGTACACAACTGATTGGCTCAAACGCATTAACTTTTAACAAGGCACACCTGTTAATTGAAATGCATTCCAGGTGACTACCTCATGAAGCTGGTTGAGAGAATGCCAAGAGTGTGCAAAGCTGTCATCAAGGCAAAGGGTGGCTACTTTGAAGAATCTCAAATATAAAATATATTTTGATTTGTTTAACACTTTTTTGGTTACTACATGATTCCATATGTGTTATTTCATAGTTTTGATGTCTTAACTATTATTCTACAATGTAGAAAATAGTAAAAATAAAGAAAAAGCCTTGAATGAGTAGGTGTGTCCTAACTTTTGACTGGTACTGTATATTAACAGTGAACTCAAAACCTATTGTCACGATCGTCTATGTCGTCCAAGTATGACCAAGGCGCAACGTGTCCAAGAAACATGACTTTATTTAGCAAAGTAACCAAAATCCAAAACAAAAGACGACTCAATGAAGTCCACGGTACACAGACCGAAAACGGAACAAAAACCCACAAAACCAAGGAGAAACCACACAGTATAAATATGGCTCCCAATCAGAGATAACGAGCCGACAGCTGACACTCGTTACCTCCGATTGGGAGTCATATGACTAATCAAGCACAATCACCAAACATAGAAATCAACAACCTAGACACCCCAACATAGAAATACACAAAAAACAAATGAAAATGAACAACCCTGGCTCAAAATATCAAAGTCCATGGAGCCAGAGTGTCACAGTACCCCCCCCTAAAGGTGCGAACTCCGGGCGCACCAACATAAGGACTAGGGGAGGGTCTGGGTGGGCGTCTGTCCACGGTGGCGGCTCTGGCCCCGGTCGTGATCCCCACCCCACCACAGTCACAACCTGCTTCAGTAGCCTCCTCCCAATGACCACCCTCCAACTAACCCCACCTGGACTAAGGGGCAACACCGGACTAAGGGGCAGCACCGGACTAAGGGGCAGCACCGGGATAAGGGGCAGCACCGGGATAAGGGGCAGCACCGGGCTAAGGGGCAGCACCGGACTAAGGGGCAGCACCGGGCTAAGGGACAGTACCTGACTAAGGGGCAGCACCGGACTGAGGGGCAGCTCCGGACTGAATGGCGGATCCTGGCTGGCTGGCTCTGGCGGATCCTGGCTGGCTGGCGGATCTGGGCTGGACGGCTCTGGCGGATCCTGGCTGGACGGCTCTGGCGGATCCTGGCTGGACGGCTCTGGCGGATCCTGGCTGGACGGCTCATGGCTGGCTGACGGATCTGGCTGCTCATGGCTGGCTGACGGATCTGGCTGCTCATGGCTGGCTGACGGATCTGGCTGTTCATGGCTGGCTGACGGATCTGGCTGCTCATGGCTGGCGGAAGGCTCTGGCTGATCCTGTCTGGCGGACGGCTCTGGCTGATCCTGTCTGGCGGAAGGCTCTGGCTGATCCTGTCTGGCGGAAGGCTCTGGCTGATCCTGTCTGGCGGAAGGCTCTGGCTGATCCTGTCTGGCGGAAGGCTCTGGCTGATCCTGTCTGGCGGAAGGCTCTGGCTGCTCCTGTCTGGCGGAGAGCTCTAGCGGCTCCGGTCTGGCGGACGGCTCTGAAGGCTCATGGCAGACGGGCGGCTTTGCAGGCTCAGTACAGACGGGCAGTTCCTGCGGCGCTTGGCAGACGGACAGTTCAGACGGCGTTGGGCAGACGGGCAGTTCAGACGGCGTTGGGCAGACGGACAGTTCAGGCCCCGTTGGGCAGACGGGCAGTTCAGACGGCGTTGGGCAGACGGACAGTTCAGGCCCCGTTGGGCAGACGGCAGACTCTGGCTGTCTGAGGCGCATCGCAGGCCTGGTGCTGTCCCTTAGTCCGGTGCTGCCCCTTAGTCCGGTGCTGCCTCTTAGTCCGGTGCTGCCCCTGAATCCAGGTGGGTTAGGGTGTTGGGTGGTCAGTTGGAGGAGGTTACCTAAGTGGGTAGTGACTATGGTGGGGTGGGGACCACGACCAGTGCCAGAGCCGCCTCCGTGGAGCAACACCCACCCAGCCCTCCCCATTTTTTGGGTGTAGGCGTGGTCGGAGTCCGCGCCTTTGGGGGGGGGTACTGTCACACTCTGGCTCTGGGACTGTGTAGTTAGAGTCAGGGTGTATTTCATTTGGTGGTGTTGGGTATGGGTGCGTTTCATTTGTTTGTGTTTTTGGGGTAATTGGTCTTGTGACTCCCAATCGGAGGTAACGAGTGTCAGCTGTCGGCTCGTTATCTCTGATTGGGAGCCATATTTAAAGTGTGTGTTTTCACCTTGTGTTTGTGGGTTTTTGTTCCTTTGTTCCTGTGTTCCGTGTTTGTGTCACTGAGGACTTCACGATCGTGTTTTGTTTCGTTTTGTTTTCGTGTGTGCGCTTTCTTCAATAAAGTCATGTTCGTTCACACGCTGC